CGTTTCCTGGTAGATGCGAAAAGCCATTGAACAACAGCAGAGTTCTGCCTTAAAGTGACCTTGCTTCGCTTGTTTTCGTAAGGGATTTGAGACTTAACCTCTGCGTTCGGTGTGGGGCTTCGCCTCCCAGATCATCTGCCGGGCTCCATCTTCATCCATCACAGTCACCTCCTCCGGCACCGCAGGCGTCAGAATCCTCGTCACACTGTGTGGGGTCTGCACCAAGCCCCGAGGCAAGATTCGACTGCTCTTTTTCAAGGTTCACTTAGTACGACCTGGCCACCTTACTCACCACCTGGCCAGTGCTAGCAGTGCTACGACCTGCGCCCAAGTGACTGTGACGTGTGCTTGCCGACCAAAAGCCGGGGGGGATGGGCTGATCGCTGTTTGCACCTCGAAGGGAACGGGCTGAACCGTTGGTTTGATCGGCAAAAGGACAGCCCATCAGTAGCTTCTTGCTCCTAGTAGCGATGCCTTTTGTTACTAGAGGCGTCCTTGCTACTAGTAGTAAGGCCAGGAGCTACTAGTAGCTTCTTGCTCCTAGTAGCTTCAGTTGCAAGCTTGCAGGAATTCGCAGCATGATACTGCTAAGTTTCTCAATCCTTCTCATACATCTTGATCAACAAAGCAAGCAGGGCAGGCAAACGAGCTCAAAGCTTTCAGTCTTTGAGCAATCTTTTATCACTGTTTGGTGCTGCTCGGATCCTGGGTGTCTATCGATGCCATGGTGTTTTCTTAATCCGAGAGACTTCATCGTCTAAGCGGCCATAGATGAAGTAGTCAACAATTGGAGCTGCAGCCAAAGCTTCTTCTCCTCAGACCAACCACACAGCCTTTGGATGCCTTTGGTCAGTGTAGGAGGTGCACATCCCTTTCCACCAGAAGACGCTGATTCCTGGTGGTTTTCTTTCCCCCGGCCAGTGCGACATCGCAAGGTCCAATAGCAAAAGGAATCCAATAGCAATGGCCTCCAACGGAATAGCGATGGCCTCCACCCAATAGCAAAAGGAATCTAATAGCAATGGCCTCCACCCTATGAGCGATGGCCAAAACCCTTAGACTTAATGGAAATTCAACACATTCCTTGACTGCTGGAGCCATCCCTTCGATTGCAGCACAGGAGCATGACAAGTTCTGACCTACACGCGCATGTCTCCTACAGAGCTTCTCTACTCACCAGGCGGCTGCTGTGCTGGTCATGGAAGAGTAGGGCATCTGTCCAGGCTTTGTGCAACTTGGGCAGGGTCTGCTTTGCCCAATGCCTGAGCCAATGGGGGCGGCTCACCATTCAAAGTTAAGGGGGGCTTGTTCAAGACCATGCCATGCAAGCAAGAAAGCACGTCGCCCATCACATTGTCAACGAAAGGATTCCCCCGAGACGAGGGGTGATCACATGTGATCACCACTCGTGCCGTGTCAACCGTCCCTTTGGTCGTATACCGAGGACGAGTTTCCTTCGAAACGGCCACGAAACGAGTTTCCTTTGCTCGTCAGCGGCGGATCTGGAAATCCGGGGCACATGGCGGTGAGATCCCAAGCGCTGAAGATCTGTCTCATTTGAGGCTCCAGATTCATCAGCTCACGGTTCAAAGTGAGGAACCCTAGGCCATACCTCAGAATTGATCATGAGCTGCAAAGACCAAATGAGGGCAATGTTTTCTGAAATGGAGGCACGTTTTGGCTCAAGAACTCCAAGAGTGTTGCAAGCGAACTGTTCAGGAATCTTGGAAACTTCTGTGCTAGTTCAGTCAGGATAGTTCTCACGCCTTGCTCTTCTCAACGCAAAGACCAGGATGCTCATCATAACCAAAGGCTTGAACCACGGGCCACTTCTCAATGGCCATCTTGAGTTCCTGACACGCGATGGGTTTTTAGCATTGAACAGCTTCTGAGTACCAACTATGAGAAAGCACCCTAGATGATTAAAGGACCTGCTGACTGATTTACACACAAAAAGAAAGTCAAAGAAGACCCTTCGGCTCCTCACTTGGCACTGAAAAAGTGTACCCCCCCTAGGTTAATCTCTATATCATGCCAAGGAAATAAATAGATTCGCATCAGAAAAATCACGGCTAAGATTCCTGCCTTATCCGAAGGGCATACATTGATTCATGCGGTGGAAAACATCCGATTAATCAGTAAAGCAAAGCAAGCGCAAGAATGTGCTTTTTAAAGCTCTTTGGACCATGTCATTACCCTCGTGACTCATGCAGTTTCCTTTCGTCAAGTTTAGACTCTTGGATCAAAGCTTCCATCTGAAAAGGAAAGAATGGAAAGGTCGAAAGGGAAGGGGATCACCATCTTCCGTCCCCTCAGTCTGATTGGATTTTGTTTTTGCTGCTTCAGCCCTTGACCGGGTCCTGATGAATTTCGCTCTGGCTGGCGAAAACGCCCAGTTTGCGGCAGTCCTGCGGATCTGGCGAGAAATCGTGGCGAGCTCAACCGCGGCGACGAAAAGACGTGGCTCTCTCAAGTGCGCCCAGAAATCGGAGTTAAATGAGTCAACAACCTGCCACATTGCTGGGAAAATAATGGAAAATTGGCATCGTCCTCAACATGTTGAGTCTTCCAAGCTGACATCTACAGGTGCAAATATGGCCGAACATGTCTGTGACAGACTTGCGGTGAATGCTGGTCAATCCAAATGTTCTTCATCTCATTCCATGCTTAGCCTTCAGTCAGGCGTAGCGTCTTGCACTCGTACATCCATATTGGCAATCACTAATTATGGCACTAGTGCCGATACATGAATTAGGCAGCGTCGATCCAAACAACTTATATAAGAACAAAAGAATCCATACAATGGGCTTTCCCCTCGATTTTCCATCTAGCAGGAAGTTCCAAGACCGATGTTCACATCTTGCCCACTTTCATTTGCTTCTCTCAGAAGAACCAACTTTCGCACCTTCACCATCTCGATGAAGGTGCCGATCTTCTTCTCTTCATAACGTTCTTGATCGTTTTCTTCCGGCGCCACCAAGAAGCACTGCTCCCATCGTGCCGTGCGCAAGCTCAGGTCTTCGAAATCTCCCTCGCGACAGGCGCGGGAGATTTAGGGACGTTCTCGCCAAACGGATGAAGTAGACAGACTCTGTCTACACACACAGACTCTGTAGAGAGACTCACACTTCGGTCATCTTGGGTCAAGGATGGAAATGGCCTTCTTAAATTCTAGCCATTCATCAATTCAGCTGCTGAGATGTCCTTCTGAGGTCAGAAACTCTGTTCGAAGTCGGTGCGTCTGTGCAACATCCCCCATGAATAGAAATCAACATGGGATCTTCAGCAATTGCAACCCAAAGGAGCTAGAGCCGACCTCGAAAGCAACCGTGTCTTCAGACACAGTCCCTTTCTACCTACTTTTACTTTTATCAACCAACCATCGAAAGCACACAAAGCACACAACACGACATGCCATGACACGGGACAGTCTGTATGTCGTACTTCATGATGTCTCAGTTCTAATCTCTTTGGGTAACCCAAATGTGTTTTGTTGACTCCGTCTCATCGCCTTTTTGCAGAAGATCAAGCTCCTTGGGCCCAAGCACACCTCAAAAGAAAGGCCGTGAGCAGCTGCCGAAACGGCAAAGTATTCAAAACAAAACGCAACACGCCAGCCTCCGTGTTTGTTTCAAGTGAAGCCTCTGTGGCCGCTTCCAGGGCCAGACATCACCCGCGCCGAAGAAAACACATGTGACATCCGACATGTTTGCCAACATCGGCCAGCGTTTTCTCACATCAAATGTCCAACCGGAAAATTCCAGGGGCAAATAACGGCATCCAGTACGACTCCATTCCTCCTCTGCCCGATCTAACTACCATGTGAAAGGCGGTCTGGAACTTATTCTACAAGCGCCCAAGTAGCACGTGTCCAACCGGCGAATTCCCAGCTCACCGAGCGAGGCACCAAAGACTCTTCGTATTGCCCGCTCACCGAGCTCAGTGCCTCCCGGCCGCTCAAGCCCAGCATGAGCCAATTGAAGACGGCCTCAACCGATCACGGCGATGTTCTGAAGTCTTTCTCTGAAAAAAACACATCAAACAGCAAAAGCGTCACCGGACAGCATCGATGGTCTCTGCTTTCACCCTCTTTCGCCCACATGGCCTCGTTCGCGCGGCTGAAGGCGGCATCGGGACCAATGGCGATAAGCAAGGCGTCCAAACCTGCGTGGCAGATCCGTCTCGGAAGTTCCACTGATCATAAAAAGAAGTCCTTGCTTCGCCTTAGGAAATGCCCCAATTTCGAAAGGAAGGAAGAAGACCTGAAGGCCACTGGGCCTTGCTAGGCTGATCTTGTTCAGCTGTCCACCTCACCGGGGGCAAACGAACGGCAGTTGACGGCCTTCCTGGCGCCGCAAGGCTTGCAGCCGCTCGAAGCGTTGATGGCAGGAGGCCGCCAGGTCATCCCAATCCGCCATGGGTGGCCACATCGAGAAGACGGTAGAAGACACAATATAGCGGAGCTATCACAAGAGAAAAACACGTCACGTGCAGCGTTTTTTCCGCGGCCTTTTATGGATATGTGCAATTTTTTACTTGGGAGAAGTTGCTGTCAGGTGAGGGGAAAAGATCTAGCTCTGACTCCAAAACTTTGCATGTGAGAAGGGCTGTTGATGCAACTTAAAGATGTGGAAGTTCAAGACCTTTTACAGATCATTTCATCCGTGCTCAGGATGCTTTCAGCTCTTTAAACAGGTCAATGACCTCTAAGATCCATCGGCGCGGACGTTGGCACACGTCTCCTGACACCCTCACTCGCCCGCAGAATCACCTGTCAGCTACTCCATGCCACTTCCCTCTTTCAAGGTAAACCAATCGGGCCCCTTGGTCTCAAAGGACTTGGTCTGATGCCATTCCTATGGATGAATGGATGAAGGAGATGCAAAAACAGAAAGGTAAGGACCCTTTCAAAAAAACAGACCAGAAAGAAGGTATATAAGGGCCTTTCTTTCTTTGAGCAAACCATAGCCCTAATTACAGGGCCCTTGGACATGCCTCGCCTCGCGGCAGCGTGGCCCCAAGGCGCAGCCCAGCAGCGCCAGCTTCGCGTGGCGCGGCGCCAGCGGCAGCGGCAGCGCCCGACGACCCAAGGAGCTGAGCTGCGTGGCGCGCGTGGCGCGTGGCCCGGCGCCAGCAGGTGTCAAGAGGCCCAGGCTGGCGATGGGACAAATGAGAAATGATGATCATGCCAAGTAGTGGATACTAGTAGAAGACCTGGGAAAAGTGCTGGGAAAAGAAAGGAGCGTGGGCAAACTGGCTTCTGTCTCTTATAATTCAGGGTAGTGTGCATGACGGGGACCTCACACCTGGTGGCATTGCACGGTCACGGCATGGTCATAGATGGTTTCTTTTCTCCGGTGGGGTTTTGGAGGTTGGCGCAAGCACCTTGGGCACATGGTTTCACCGTACCATGAAAAAAACGACATGCTGTGATCCTGTTTCAATCGCTTGCAAGCATCCAAAGACCACACAAGACATATATGATCTTTTGTAGAATCTACTCTCCTTGCATCCTTTCCTCGTGGCTTCACTTCCTTCGCGCCTGATGAGCCGCTTAAGAGCGCTTTGTACCGCCGTCTCCTCTGGAGGATCCAACAAGGCCTGGCAGATCTCCTGAAGCCCAGCGAAAGCGATCGAAGGTCCCCAGGACTCGCAATTCACATGTTTTCACCTCACATCTTGCACCCCAAACACCAGGGTCCCACGGTCGCTCCCTGTTTCCCTGTTTGAAAATGGCTTGGTGGTCCGTGTTTACCATCAATGATTGAGTGGCTGGCCCTGGAAGGCACATCCATAAGCCAAGCCAACTGAAATTAGGCATCCCCACCGATCAGTAGTAAAAGAATGCTCTCTCACTCTCTGAACTGCCTCCGCCAGCCAATTATACTAATATGATCAGCAACCTGCTGTTCTTCTGTCTCTCACCGCCTTCGGGAAGAGTGTTTCGGCTCAAACATTCGGAGAAAAAACCCGCTTTTCGCGTGGAAAACAAGTAGCATCGGGGGGCGTCTCTCACCGAGGCGGTCGCCCGCCCGCAAAAGAGAGCTGAGGGTCGCCACCCCGGCCCCATGGTCTGTTCCAAGAGTCCATGGTCGTGTCGAAGAAGTCTGGCAGACCTAAGTGGATCTCGAAGCAAGTCAAAAAAATATTCTAGGTGCTAGTATCAGGGCCCAATTTAGATCCCATTTCAGGCATGAACACCTGTATTTTATGTTCCTCTTCCTCTTGGAAAACACGGGAGCCTGCAAGATTCTGCCCAAAACTCATTTGACCTGTAGGATCTTTCGGTTTTGGTGACTCGACACTAGGTAAGCCTCAAACGGAGCATGTGGTCACCCTTCTGCTCCCGGCTCCGAATGCAAAGCGGATGTTTCACGAAGAGCTTCACACTCAAAGGACCTTAAACGCATCTGAAGTTCGCCTTTTTGGACCAGAAAGGTCCTCAAACCCCAAAACACATCACTTGTGGTGGTGCTTGTCACTCGTCTTGTGCCCCATACAGTATCTGCCTGCGGCGTGGATCCGTAGGAGTAGTTCTTCCAAGGGAACTCGGCACACCTACAGGTCGGTCCAGACCGGGCACTCGGTCCAGACCGGGCACTCGGTCCAGTTCAAAACAAAGACCTCGTTGGTTTCTTGGGTTTTTGGTCCCAAAACGACGAAGCAAGATCGCTACGAAGATGCTTGCGGGTGATCATTTGTCTAGATGCTTCGTTCACTTGGAGTCTACGAACAACAAGAAGTTACAAGGAACAAAGGGCATCGCTACGAACGGAGCAAGGACGCGACTAACTAGGTAGCAGTGGATGATGATGGTGAACAAAGACCTTTCCCGGATTGTTACTCGTAATGGGATACGCCATGATACGCCCTAGATTGGGCAATGCCACGAGAAGAAGGTCGTTGGAACATCTTTTCAGATTTTTCTGAACCTTTTGATCTTGGAGTGGATAGCCTGATTAGAGTCCTTTCCTTTTTTGAGCTCCATCACCTCGAACCCTTCCATAAATGTTGCCCGAAGTTGCAAGGCTTACAGCCTCTGGCCTCAGGCTCTTGATGCTCTTCCATCAGCTGATTGTGGCAGTACTTGGTGACCAAATGCACGCAAACACCTCGAGGGAAGGGGACGTGACGAGAGTGAGATGGGATGTCCATCATCCACAAATCTTCCCGTCATCTGGACCAAACAATCTCTTCCCGAGTGCTTCATTGGAAATGCCCAGCAGGGCAGGCAGCAGAGTGGAGTGTCGTCCAGCGTCCAGGCAAAACATCTTAGGTTCAGGCTTCCTTGAAAAGGCCCCCACCATCGGGCTAAAACATGGACCAACCGATGAAGCAGGTCTGATGGAAGCATGGCAACTGATGAAGCTTGAAAACCACACTCTTTTGGGGCGATGCTCTTTGGCTCGCCTGGTGCCACGCGCCCCGCACGCCCGCGGCGCTGCAACGCGCTGGAGCGACACTCAAAGACATCCTGCCAGGGGTCGATGGTGTTCGGTGCGATCTCGATGGACAAGAAAAACAAGGTCTAAAGGTCTAAAGAAAAAAGAAGAAAGAAAGACATCAGAAAATGCACAAAGCTACTCGAAATAACAAGTACTTCTTCGAAAGTTTTGACAGACCGCCTGCAGGCTTGCCACCCGACGACCGCTATCATAGCGAAGCTCTTTCACGTGCCCTGGATCCGGGCCAAGTTTTGCGGAGATTCACGCCGAAAGTAACTTCTTTCAATTAGCACTAGACACTTGATGCAATTGATGCAACGAACTTTATAATGTCGCAGAAATATAGAGAGACTTGACCTATAGAGAGACTTGACCAAATCCACAGGGATTACATTTACTATCCTTTACTGTACTTCACCAGACTATTCAAATGAATGGTGTGGTTGCGGCTTAATTAGGCTTTAATTAATTGTCCAAAGATGTTAAAGGTTGGAGTGTAGGGTTTAGGGTTTAGGCGTGAAGGGTTCTAGGTTTAGGTTTCGAAAAGCACCTTTGCGCAAGCACTGTGGTTGTAGGGCTGTGCATTTCATGACCCGCAATGATGTGTATGTACATAGTGTTTAAACTGAAAGGGCCTTAGATGTGGTCGCAGCAAAGTACACCCTGCACCAGCCAAAAATATGATATTTTTTATTGTTAATCCACCGATCCAATGATTTTTGTTTTGACAGTGACTTCCTTTTTGTTATGACCATGCCTGTGTCAATGACCACGCCCACATCGTCAATGGTGATGCTCGTCTCGGCGATGTTCGTGGCCAAAATGATTTTCCGCACGCTGCCCGGAGCTCGCCGAAAGACCAACCTCAAAAAGACCCGGCAGAAGCAGAGGTAGGGGATGGTCGGGGAGGGTCATTTACATTTAACGTATATTAATATGGTCGACAGTAGTATTGGAATGAAACCGAAAAGTGGAGGTGTGAACTCTGCAGCCCAGATCCACCTCCCATGTCATCGATGTACTATTGCAACCTTTAATTGTGTTGCTCAAAGAGGATATCATGGTGGACTTGGATTGGAAGCATTAAAAGTTGAAAAATGAAAGACTGATCTATGCCCTACAGTCTCACGTACCACACTGGCGGCTTTTCTTAGTGGGACAACTGGAATATGCCCCCCTAGAACCTATGTTGCAAATCAATTCCTAACTGTCTTGAAGCTTTCATTAGGTTTCACATGATCTCCCAAGGTGACATATTTACAGCTGAACAACTAACTAATCAGAGGTGCATTGGCGAACACCGCTCTCATGCCCATCATACATGGCTGCACCCTCTGATTGTGACCTTCCCTCCAATACTGATTAAGGTCGTGACAACTTGTGATGTTTTTCTACCCCAAAAGACCACAATAGCTCTGGCATGCTCTGGCTACTGACCGTTACTATTACTATAATCACTGTGTGCACTGTTTCGAAGATTCTAGTCACTAGTCGTTGACGTTTGCTCTCGGGTGGTGCGAAACGGACTGAAACAGCAGCTGGTTGGCACTGCCTCTGCTGCAACTGACACACGGATGCCAATCAGCTCAAGCCTTGAGAGGGGTGAACAACCGTGTGATCTTGCCCCTGGTCAAAAACAGGTGTGGTCAGAAGAACCTTTTGGAATCAACATGCTCCCAAACTTGCCTTGAAGGCAGGGCCAGTCGGTTACCTAATCTATTCACACTCTTCCGCCTGACACGATTGCATTCACCGCCAAGATTCTGCTGCTCATCGTGCTGCAAAGAACTATGCAGGTTGAGGATCCAAGAATTGGCGGGCTCCTCACAGTGTCTCCCCCAAGGTTTTTGCAAAAACCACAAAACCCCACCCACCTAAAAATGAACACGTCTCCAGACCCGCTGGCCTTCCGTAGCTCGGGCGCCGCCTCTAGGAGTGCAGAACGCATCTGGGAGATCTCTTTCGCCTTGGAAGCCAAAAGCCAGAGTCAGTCAGGTCAGGGTAGTCAGTCTGGGAGATCTCTTCCTTGACCTTGACTGACTACCCTGCTCTTGGCTATATCTCTGAGGCCACTGAGGTCTGGCGTCTTCCAGGAAGGCGGTCTTATCGATGCTAGGCTTGGCTTGACCCCCCCCACCGCGGAGTCTCACTACCCGGACGACCATTTCAAAACGCAATCTTTCAGCTGAGCGCTGCAACCAGGCGATGTGACGACATGATACGACATGCCCATTCGGTCGATGTGACACCGGTTCCGTTCGGAAGAAGGCTTTCTGAAAGCTGCCCCTTGAGGGCCTTGTAGAACCCGTGCCAACCTACTCAGGTTCATAGGGTTGGCTTGGCCAATCAGCAGGTTCGGCTGGGCTTGGGGTGACTCAAACTATGTCACTATGTGTCACGGACGACACTGCCAATCCACTTACCGGTCTTTGGAAGATCTCAACCTCTTATCCAAAGAGTTGTGCCGATCAGTTAGTTTCATTGAAGCAAACAAGTTACCGACACAAACCCCTCCCAAAGCACGCTGTTGGAAACGCACCAAATGCTGATGGCGCGGGCAATACCTCGAACAGCTCAACGGGAAAAAAATAAGTTTATAAATACAAAAGAATCATTACTCATTTCAGGATAGTGGACCATTTTATAAGGGGG